TTTTTTTTTTTTTTTTTTTTTTTTTTTTCACAGAAGAAAATTTTTTTTTTTTTTTTTTTTTTTTTGTCACAGAAGCTTTTTAGTTTGATATAATCTCATTTGTTTATTTTGTTGTTGTTGTCTGTGCTTTTGGGGTGTTATTCATAAAGTCTTTGACCAGTCCTAAATCTGGGAGTGTTTCCCCTGTGTTTTCTTCTAGGAGTTTTAAAGTTCCAGGTGTTACATTTAAGTGTTTAATTCATTTTGACTTGATTTTGGTATATGGTGAGAGGTATGGATGACATTTCATTCTTCTACATATGGATATCCAGTTTTCCCAGAACCATTTATTGAAGAGGAAGTCTTTTCCCCAATGTACATTCTTGGTGCCGTTCTCAAAGTTCAGTTGGCTGTAAGTTGATTTCTGGGTTCTCTGTTCTGTTCCATTGGTCCACATATCTGTTTTTATGCCAGTACCATACTGTTTTTATTACTATAGATTTGTAATATAGCTTGAAGTCAGGAAGTGTAATGCCTCTGGCTTTACCTTTTTTGCTCAGGATCGCTTTGGCTATTCAGGGTCTTTTGTTGTTCCATATGTATGGTAGCATTGCCTTTTCTATTTCTGAGAAGAATTCACTGGTATTTTGATGGAGATCACATTGAATCTCTAGATGGCTTTGGGTAATATAAACATTTTCACTACGTTGATTCTTCCAGTCTATGAACAGGGAATGTCTTTTTCATCAATTGGTGTCTTCTTTAATTTGTTTCAGCATGATTTGTGGTTCTCATTGTAGAGATCTTTCACCTCCTTGGTTAGATTTATTCATGGGTACTTGATTTTTTTGGTGACTATTGTCAGTGGGCTCACTTTTTTGGTTTCTTTTTTGATTATTTTGTTGTTGGAGTATAAAAACACTATTGATTTTTGTGTACTGATCTTGTATCCTGCAACCTTACAGAAGTCATTTATCAGCTCTAAGAGTTTTTTGGTAGAGTCTCTTGGGCTTTCTGTATGTAGAATCATGTCATCTGCAAACATTGACAATTTGATTTTGTCTTTTCCTATTTGGATACCCTTATTTCTTTCTATTCTGTAATTGATATAAGTCCTTCCAATACTATGTTACATTGGAGTGGTGAGAGCACACATCCTTGTTTTGTTCCTGATCTTAAGGGGAAAGCTTTCAGCTTTTCTGTATTCAGGATGACATTGGCAGTGGGTTTATTGTATATGTCTTTTATTATGTTAACATAAATTCCTTCTATAACTAATTTGTTGACAGTCTTTATCATGAAGGAATGTTGGATTTTGTCAATTGCTTTTTCTGCATCTATTGAAATGATCATATGGTTTTTGTTCTTGATTTTATTGATGTGGTGTATTACATTTATTGACTTGCATATGTGGAACCATCCTTGCATTCCTGGGATGTATTGCAGTTGATTGTGGTGTGTAAACTTTTTGATGTGTTGCTATATTCTGTTTGTTGGTATTTTGTTGAGGATTTTTGCATCTAAGGATATTGGTCTATAGTTTTCTTTTTTTGTTGTATCTTTGTCTGGTTTGAGAATCAGGGTGATATTGGCCTCATAGAATGAGTTTGGGAGAATGGTTTGTTTCAGTTTTTTAGAATAATTTGGAAAGAATTGGTATTAATTCCACTTTAAAGGTTTGGTAGAATTCAGCAGTGAAGGTGACTAGTCCTGGGATTTCTTTATTGGGAGATGTCTGATTACTCCTTCAATCTCATTGCTTGTTATTTGTCTGTTCAGTTTTTCTATCTTCTTGGTTCAGTCTTGGTAATTTGTATGTGTCCAGGAATTTAGCCATTTTCTCCAGGTATTCAAATTTGTTGTCTTATAGTTATTCATAGTAATGTCTAATGATTCTTTGTATTCCTGTGGTATTAGTTTGGATATCTCCTTTTTCATTTTTGATTTTTGTTGTTTGTGTATTCTCTGTCTCTTTTTTTTTAGTTAGTCTAGCTAGTGGATTGTGTATTTTGTTTGTCTTCTCAAAAACCAACTTTTTGTTTCATTGATTTTTTGTATCTTATATTTGGTCTCTATTTCATTTAGTTCTGCTTTTATTTTAATCATTTCTTTCCATCTAGTAACTTTGGGAATAGATTGTTCTTGTTTTTCTACTTCTTTTAGGTGTAGTGTTTGGTTGTACATTTGAAGTCGTTCTGTTCTCTTGATATAAGCATTTATTGCAATAGACTTTCCTCTTAGTAGTGCTTTTGCAGTATCCCATAGGTTTTGGTATGATGTGTTGTTATTATTGTTAGTTTTGAGAAATTTTTTGATTTCCTCTCTGATTTATGCTTCATCCCATATGTCATTCAGGAGCATGATGTTTCATTTCCAAGTATTTGTTACTTCCAAAGTTTTGTTTGTTATTGATTTCTAGTTTTAATCCATTGTGGTGTGAGAAGATGCATGAAATGATTTCAGTTTTTTTTAATTGTTGATACTTTATTTGTGACCTAAAATGTGATCTGTCTTGCAGAATGTTCCATGTGCTGATGAGAATAATGTATATCCTGTAGTTGTTGGGTGAAATGTTCTATATATGTCTACCAAGTCCAGTTGATCTAAAGTGTAGTTTAAATCCTGAGTTTCCATATTGATTTGTTGCCCAGATGATCTTTCCAATGCTGAGACGGCAGTGTTTAGGTCCCCAACTATTACTGTATGTAGGTCTGTCTCTCCCATTAGGTGTAATAATGTTTTCTTTATATATTTGTATCCACCAATGTTGAGAGCATATATATTTATGGTTGTTGTGTCTTCTTGGGGGATCAATCCCTTTATCATTATATAATCACCTTCTTTGTCTCTTTTTATAGTTTCTTGTTTAAAGTCTATTTTATATAATATAAGAATAGATATTCCTGCTTGTTTTTGGTTTCCATTTGCATGGCATATCTTTTTTCATCCTTTCACTATTAGTCTATGAGAGAATTTACAGGTGAGGTGGGTGGGTTTCTTGTAGGCAGCATATAATTGGGTCTAGTTCTTTAATCTGTCCAGCCACTCAATGTCTTTGGAGTGGGGAGTTCAATCCATTAACATTTAGTATTGCTATTGAAGGGTGTTGTCTAACTCCTGTCATTTAATTGCTTTTGTGTGGTTGTTTTAAGTATCTTTTGTTCCTTTCTTTCCCTGTTGTTCTTTGACTTCATTATTTATTGGTTTTTTGAGGTGGAATGGTATAGTTTTTTCCTCTTTCTCATTTAACTTTGTGTTCTATTGGTGGGATTTGTTCTTCATGTATTCATGGTGGTAATTATTGTCATTTTTTGGATTCCAGGTACAGAACTCCCTTGAGGGTGTCTTGTAGGGCTGGTCATGTGGCACTGAATTCCCATAGTTT